GCGCGCGCGCGCGTGTGTGTGTGTGTGTGTGTGTGTGTGTGTGTGTGCGCGCGCGTGTGTGTGTGTGTGTGTGTGTCACTCGCGCTCTCTCTTTCCTTACGTGTGTATTTGCACACATCCTCGTACCTCACCGCTCCAAACTTAATCCGGGAAAGGTGAACATTCCTGCATCATAACTTGGACTGAAAGATGAATGTGTAGAAAGTGAGCATGTCTCCAAAAACCTTGTTGAGCTGCAGGTTTAATGACTGCATTTTTTATTTATTTTTTTATTTTTGTTTTTACAGAAATTATGTTTTGATTATATTTTTGATTATTGAGCTGCAGGTTTAGGCTCACTTAAGTGACTGTACTTTTTTTTTCATTTATAGGGACTTTTTTTTTTTTTTTACAGAAAATAATTTATTTATGTTCTGATTATTGTTGAGCTGCAGGTTTAGGCTCACTTAAGTGACTGCATTTAATTAAGAAGAATTTAATTATTTATTCTAATTATTTAGCCTGACATGTTTACTGTTCCAAAATGTTCTATGTTTCTTAAAAATAAAATGTGTTCAGTGGAGAAAAAAAAGTTTTTTTTTACCCAGACATTTAAAAAGAACATATTTTAGAGCTGTAATCGCAATACCGTGATACCGTGATATTTTTTTTATCTAAGGTTATCATACCATCAGAATCTCATACCGGCCCATGCCTAGGCGGGTGTGGGGTGTGAGATCAGGAGTTTCAAATCCGCAGTAAAACTCATTCAGGTCTTCAGCAAGTTGTTGATACGCCTCAGAGCTGGGGGATGGCGTCTTGTAGTTTGTGATGTCTTTCAGGCCTTTCCACACTGAAGCAGAGTTGTTTGCTGAAAACTGGTTTTCCAGCTGCTTAGAGTAGCTCCTCTTAGCCACCCGGTTTTCCTTTGTCAGTGTGTTTCTGGCCTGATTGTATAAGATTCTGTCCCCACTCCTGTAGGGTCCTCTTTGGCCTGGCAAAGCTGTCTGATTTTTTTTCTGGGAACCATGGTTTGTCATTGTTGTATGCTAAATGAGTCCTGGTAGGAATGCACATAACCTCACAGAAACTGATGTAGGATGTCACGGTGTCAGTGAGCTCATCCAGATCAGTGGCTACAGCTTTAAAAACACTCCAGTCAGTGCAGTTGAAGCAGGCTTGTAAATCCCGCTCTGCTTCATTAGTCCATCTTTTTACAGTCCTTATTACAGGTTTAGCTGATTTCAGCTTCTGCCTGTAGGTCGGTATAAGATGAACCAAACAGTGATCAGAGAGCCCCAAAGCTGTCCGTGTGACAGAGTGATGTGCATCCTTTATTGTGGTGTAACAGTGGTCCAGTATATTACAGTATCTGGTAGGACATGTAACGTGCTGTCTGTATTTTGGCAGTTCGCTGGAGAGATTTTCTTTATTAAAGTCACCAAGAATGATTATAAAGGAGTCAGGGTATTGTTGTTCTGTGTCTGTGATCTCATCAGCTAGCTGTTGTAATGCTGTGTTCACGCTTGCAAAGTCAAATGATTTAAGCAGGTCTGACAGCAGAATGTGTAGCAATGTGTGTAATATAATGCGTAGCTGACTAGCATGCTGCACCAATTTAGAAATGTGACTTGTTAGTTTAATGTTGTTGATCAGATGCTATGTTAATTGCCCTTTACTTGTGAAAACTACTTTGAATCTAGCTTAGCTTGCTAGTCATAACTACTCATAATTTGAAGTATTTTTCTTTGCTTGTTAAAAATGTTTTATCAAAAAAATTATATTTATATTATATTATATTATATTAGGCATTGAACTGCCCACTAATTATCAGATTTTGATAAATAAATAAATAAATTTATGCATTTAGCAGACGCTTTTATCCAAAGCGACTTACAGTGCATTGAGCGGCACAGCGCAACAAATCACCGACAGAAAACTGCTGCCGGGTTCTATTTATGACGTGCTGACACAAATTTCAAATGGTTTTCAACGGTCGTTTGATCGCGTCCAGTGTAGGCAGACTTTAGCTGTTGTAGACACGGTGTTACTCACCTATTGAGAAGAAACAAAGCAACCTCGGCATCCGATCGCAGGCCTTCGCTCCTTGAGTTCTCTCCAGCGCTGGAAAGCTGATCCGATATTTACACGGGTCCAACTTCTTGCCTTATCGTTCCGCAGACGTTTTCCTCTTTTGTTTTTTTATGCGCCATCTCTATCTTTCTGTCGCTCCGCTCGGCTAATGTTCGTCCCATGCACTGAAAGCTCTCTCCTCCACATCACGAGTAGACACGCCCCTTATTGCTGATTGGCTACAAGTTTGTTTTGCTATTCGGCCCGAATCAGTTTTCTAAAGTGTTTTTGAGAAATCACATACCCTGCCTTTAAGCTTTAAAGCGTTTCATCCAGGTCGCCAGTAGCAAACAATGGAGCGCGCTCTGCTGGACAAACTAAGTAATTACACCATTTCAAGCATTTTATCTGCATTATATGTTCTGTAAAAAAAATTTTCATATCGGCGGCATATTCGCCGATCGGCCGATAATATCGGCAAAACGATATATCGGTCGGGCTCTACACTAAATAATAATAATGATAATAATTAAATAAATAAAAGTATTAAAATAATTTTAAAATATTAAAACAGTGAGCATCATTTGTGCATTACAAGATGTAATTTATTGTTGTGGTGGTAAAGCTGAATTTTCAGCATCATTACTCCAGTCTTCAGTGTCACATGATCCTTCAGAAATCATTCTAATATGCTGATTTAGTGTTCAAGGAATATTTCTTTTTATTATCAGTGTTGAAAACAATTGTGCTGCTTAATATTTTTGTGGAAACCATAATATATATTTTTTCTGGATTTTTTTGTTTTTGTGATAACAGAAAGTTCAAAAGAACAATATTTATTTGAAATAAAGATTTTTTTGTAACAATATTACTGTAACCTTTGGTCAAATTAATGCGTCCTTACAGATTAAAAGTATTAATTTCATTATTATTATTTCTATTTATTATTGTTATTGTTGTTTTTAAAAAGCTTACTGACCCCAAGTTTTCGAATGGCAACGTATTCATTGATTTAATTTCACAAAAACAAATGGCTGCAGCTTATAAATCTAAAACACTGTAATATTCATTTGTATTTAACCAGCAATTTTTCAACCCAGATATCACTTGGTGAAAGCATGACATTAATTACCCTGCTGCTTCACTTGCACAATGCTGATGCTTGTGGTGTCAAACAGGCCTGACTCTGCATCCTGACAAGTCCGTTTTCAGCGTCAAGTAAAATGCTACGTGAAGCAATAAAATAACAGCTTATTAGACTGTACAGTATGTTTTGTTTAATATACAGATATGTAGAATGAGATTTGGACCAATAAGACCTTCTACTTTCAGCCAAAAGTCCTAACATGGAACAGATTTATTTCTTGGTGCTTTATCATGCCTCACATGGTTGGGACACAACTTAAGGCAGTCAGCTGTCTTAAACCTCATTATACGTTATCTTGCATGTGTCTCTCATTAGGCTGGCTGAAAAAGAGCTACAGAGGAAGAGTCTAGAAGATTCTCTTAATGCTGAGAGGAGCAGCAGCGCCGGCAGGGAGATAAAAATGCAGGCAAGTGTCACTACTCTCGTTCCAGCTTACACCAGTTAAACTGAAGTGTGATTTCTGCTGTGTAATGATCACACGGCTCTCCCTGCCCTCTGCAGGCCATACACAATGAGAACCTGACAGTGAAGACTGACCTCCAGAATCTGCAGGCACAGATTTCTGAGCAGGTTAGACTTCAGTTGCTTTTCTTTCCACTAATCCATTAATGCACATTCACACTAACGCACACCACTGTCGTGTCTTCTCTTTCTCCAGGCTGTATCTATGGAGCAACTTAAGCAAAGGTGAGTGCATTGAAATTGGTTAGAATTCAGTGTTTCCCCTAGGATTTTTTTCAGGGGGGGTGGTAGACCCCCCAAAACTACTAGTGTTGCGGAGCGGGTGTGTTACGGATACGTGGTGTTGTCATAGACGCGGTGCGCAGTAGGTGGTTGTTTGTATCGGTGCATTTCTAGAGTGAGCTAAAACGACAAGAGTGCACATAAATTTGGTAAATAAATATAAACACCATTTATAAGCAAAATACCGATCGCACTAGTGCTACACTGATATTAAAAGTCAGGCCAATACGATAACCCAATTATTTTCATGTTAGATAAATATTAAAAATGTTAATGTCAATATGTCTACATATAAAAAAAATTCTAAAATATGTAAGTTAAATTAAACATTTTTCCTACTATTTTCAAGGTATGACCAGTATTATAAATGATTAACAATAATATTTACAAGAAGAATTCTTGCGAAACAAGTAATAAATGAAACCCCAAAATAGTACATTAAAATTAGACAATAGTTTTATAAATTACCAATTATATTTTATGGCCAATATTAAAAATCAATAATATTAAAATATTAGCATAAAAGTTAGCTAAACTTAAACAATAGTTTAAAATTATTTCAGATTTACAGCATCATAAACATGTATTTAAAACAGAAACAATACATTTTGATCTCAAATAAATAAACACATTTTAAATTTGAAACATTAAGTTTTAAAAAATGTAATAGATTATAATATATACAAGTTTGTGTGTGTGCATTATTAGAAGTGTATCTAAACTAAAAGACAATATAGTATACAATATGAAAGTTAGCATTTTAGTTTAGATTGGATTTTAGTTTAGACACGCTTGTGAAATGAACGAGATTCCTAATCAAACAAAGTATAATTTAGAGCTATAATTTTGCATTTCCTAGTAACATTTGGCAAGTGTGTAATGAATTTAACTGTTTTTATTAATGAACAATCACAGCTCTAGTTTTAGTCTGAAAGGACTAAAATGTAAGTTCCTCCAACCAGGAATTTTTCATTATAAATGCAGTGACGTGTATTGTTTATTAATGATCAGTAATTAATGGGTGTTGTATTGTGTTCTTAGCCTCCAGCAACGTGATGAGAAGGTTAGAATGGTGGAGAATTTGCTGGAGTCCAGCCTCATTCAGGTGGCCAATAAAGAAGACGAACTGAAGGTGAACAAGGAAGTCTTTATGAAGTTTTTAATATTTATGTTAATTCCTAATTTATATACATGTATGTGTATGTGTGTATATATAAATATATATAATATTTATAAACTAGCTAAAGCACCATGAATGCTCTTACAACAGCAGTTAAATAATCTTTTCTTTTTCTTGTTTTAACAGGCAATCAAAAATGAGTATGAAGATTTGAAACAGCAACTGGAGGCAGTACAGAAACATACTACAGAGCAGGTAGCGAGTACCATTACCACACACAGGCATTGTTTGTGGAGGAGAGAGAGAGATATTGTGATTAATGCTTGCCAAAGCTGCCCGCTCACATTCGTCCTGTTTCTTTCCAACACGTTTTTCCAGACAATGTCAGAAAAGACGCTAGAAGAGCTACAGCAAAAGTAAGTTACATAGTCACAACCAGGGCCAGAGTGGGGCCCATTATCAGCCCGAGAGTTTAATGCCTCCCTGTGTGTTTCAACAAGAACATACAGAAAAATAACTAATGACATACTAAACTCCTTAAGCAAACATTCTGCATTCAGCACAGCTGAAAAATTCACCACATACAAATTAAAAAGTTTTTTCACTTTTTCAACTTTAGTTAGTCTGTAATGTTGCTGTTTGAGCATAAAAAAATATCTGCAAAGTTACAAAGTACAAAGTTCAAAGTCCAATTCAAAAGGAGATATTTTATTTAACAGAAATCACTTTTCAAAAACTACAACGAACAACTCGTTTGGACTACAACGCATATTTTCCGGGATTTGTGATATCACAAATACCGACGAATGGGACGAGACCTGGTTGAGCTTCACTAGAGAAGGCAACGAGTGTTATCACTATGTCGGAGACACGCTAGCTTTCCCAAGGCAGACGAACTTTACAATCATTAACGTTACAATCATCCGGGTTTAAATCGCTCTCAAATTGATTGGATTTTGACGCAATATCCACACTGAAGCTCGCAGGCGGCTATGGTAAGGGGCATGACATTTCCCGACCAGGCGCCGAGTGCTGCCAATCACAACACACACTGGCCCAGCTAACCAATCACAGCACACACTGGCCCAGCTAACCAATAACAGCACATTTCGTATTTCAGAAGGCGGGCCTTCATTTGATACAGGAACTATTCGAGCCGTTCATGC